ACCCTGATGCGGCCTCCTAACTACATAGAAGGGTAAGCAGACGGGAAATGAGTGGTGGGCTAGGAGGACTCACTCTCTTTCTCGCACCGCCTGTCGCCGTACCCTCAACATGCTTGGCAAGATCAGCCAAGGCCGCTGCAACGATGATAAGACGGGAAAAGGTCATCAACGTCGGTTGGGAAAATCTCTCGACTGACACACTAACAGCATCCACGAGCGCGAGCACAGGTCTTTGTCCGCCTCTACGATCGGGCATGCAAGCATATCAGCAACAGGCGTTCGGAGGACACGGGGCGTGTTTGAGTCTGACAGTTCGACTTATCTTCACTTCCACGCTCGATCACCACTTGTTCAACATAAGGAGAACCCTAGTTCTTTCGCCTTGTGTATGCGTACACTAGCACGCAGACGCACACCACTCAGTACTGATACAAATTCAGATTCCAACTTCCTTCGCCTTAGCGCGGTGGATGGCTAGACCATCTACCTCGTAAACCTGGAAGCTAAGCCTACGGCCAGGACGAACCAACTGCCGACGAACGAGGCTTGGGACGTGAAGAAGAGGTACAGAGCGTCACATAGTTAAACCATGCTTACAACCGCCGGCCAGACTCGCGACGGAATCGCTCCGAGCGAACGACTCGCTCGCCAACAACCATTCGCTGGGCACGGCGAAAAGCCAACCTCACCAGCATTGCGAGACCCGCAAGGGTGCCCAAGTTGGGACTCCCACCTAAGCTTTGACAAAATTTCCTATTGAGCTGTGACGGAGTTATACACGTATGACATGGTTCCAGCGTGAAGAGCATGGCCCATGCTGCATGAGCCCGTAGCGTGAACCCCGATTAACCGTATAATATTAAGGCGGCTGAAGCTCAGCCAACCTGGGCGCCTTGAACCCTCGTATGTCCACGTTAATGACTGCCGTAAAAGCTACAGCGTCAGCTACGTTATCGATCGTGGTGCGGAGACGTACGGCAGAGGATGTCAAGAAGGCGAGATTACAAGAATCACTAAGTATGGGAAGCTCGCTCGCACGAGACTCCGGGACTTCCGTTCCCAAATGGCTGGAAGAAGGGGGCTGCTCGAGAGCATATAGGGGAAGTTCCCCTGGAGAAGGATATGATGAGGAGTTCATTGATCGGTACTCGTGGTCCGTTGACAGCCGTTGTGAGGAGATTTAAGATGGCAGTAAAACTGGGGTTAGTATCACAGCGACTTGCAATTCTCAAGTGTACTAGCCGCGAATGAAGATGAACCATTCATCGGCAGAAGCTTGCTCATCGCGAATAGTTCAATCGACCCTCACAATAGTTTACCGATCAGGAGCGTAGTCCTCAGCGATTCAAACCCCACTCCCAGTCGCCCTGTTTTCGTGACCAGCGGAGTCATGTACGACCGTTGATTCATCCAGTGAACGTTCTGGATATAATGTCGAACACAGCCACCACCACCGCCACGTGTATCCTCCCTCCTCCGCCGGACTTCGGATCCATCTCCCTCACCGGCAAGGCTGTGGACTTCCATCGCAACCTACTTGTTGGGATAAGGGAACCTCACTTGATGCTACCTGTACGTCTACTGGGAAAGTGTACAGTGATGATGCTGTGCCATTGTTAGATTATCGACTATCTCGAGGAACATCAGCTTTATGACGAGTCCAGCATCAAGGCACTCCGAATCCAAGTTGTCAAGGCTACTCGCATGGTGGACTTGTTGGTAGTAGAGGGTAGTCACTGGGACGGTGGTAGTAGGAGGGTCGTTGTTGCTAGGGTGACTTGACGGGTGAAGATATGACGGAGGCCAGAGCTGCCTTGGAGAAGGAGTTGAAGGAGGCAGAGGAGGCCGCTGACAGTGCAATGAAGCTTATTAAGAACCAGGAGGTCTGGGAAAAGATACAGGCTAATGCTGAGTACTGATGTCCGGCATAGTAGTGTTGGCGATGTTGACCCCTTCAGAGGGTCTTCCTTCGGGGCGTTGGTGCTGGATTATGGCTTCCCCGACGACATTCTGGACAGGGTCTATCACCTTGGCCGACTCAACTACCAGGCTGGCCGCTACGAAGATGCTTACTCGGCTATGCAGGTCCGGGAACTCACTCTACATTTCTCACGTGATTCTTGTCTCTACAGGTGTATCGTACTCTGCTGACCTACCTGGGACCCAAGCAGCATCACAAGTATATGTTGTCCTCTCTCTGGGGGTCTCTTGCCTGCGCCATACTCACTGGACAGGTAAGAAGGTCTCCTAGAGTTGTCCTGAATGCTGCATCATCCCTCCTCAGTTCGACGCCAGTGTTGACCTCATCGGCAAGCTTTTCGAGCTTTATCAGTATGAATCCTCGGGACCATCGAGACCGGTCGGCGAGGGCGCTGGCAACTACGCGGAGTCCGTGGCTGTGCTCATGCATTGGAGTCTCTTCGCTCTCTTCCGGTACCACACTTCTGCTAATTCGCGCGTGTATGCCCCACACCGTCTCAGAGCTCCATCCCCGTCCTTATGCTTGTCGCCTAAGCTGGTTATGTTGTTAACAAGAGTTAAGGCTCTACAGGCTATCATCTCAACGGGGAACTTCCATCTCCTTCGGTGAGAGTCGTGGTGGAGGGCGTCCGTTTGGTCACTCCTTATCAGGTACGTTGCTATTGTAGCCCTGATATCGCCTCAACAACTCGCCCAGTCGGGTGCTAGCAAGCGTGACACGCCCGCCAGCACTCCTGTGTCGTTGCTAGCCCAGTACTTGGAGGGCCAAGAGGAATGGTAGGGGACTAGGATGGCTTCACTTCCGACGAGCATGGAGTCCATAGGTATTGTGACTGCTTCACCAAGCTGATGGTGGCAGTGTATGTTAAGGCGGACTTCGTTGCTGCTAAGGAGGCTGCTAGAGAGTGTCTCAAGACGACAGACTATTTCACTAGCGGCATTGAGAGAGAAAACCAGGTAGTGGTGTTTCATAGAATCGGGGTAAACAGCACTGATCGTCTCACGGCAGATCGCTCTGGGTGTCGGACGCACGCTGGCCGGTGCATTGATGCTTGTTTATCGAGTTCACGACCTCGCTACCAGTCTCAGCAAGATGATCGGTGAGGCGAAAGGGGACTGCAACTATTATCTGGTAGCTGCCTTCGCAGGTGTAAGTCAGGATGTGGCGGAGACATCAGTGGAGACGGCTAGTCGGGGTCGCCGGAGCGGGCTCACTTCCGGCGAAACCACTGAGACCGAGAGCCAGTGAGAGGGAGAGGCTCGGTTGGGATTGTTTCTATAGTGTGCAGCTGTTGTGTCTCGGTGTTAATGGTCCGATAGGCCAGGAGGTTGATTTGAAGATTTTCTGGTAGTCAGTTTGATTTTAGAAATGGTGGTGCTCCATGTTAAACGAACTTCTCCCAAAGGAGAGTTCCTTTTCGAAACCACCGTCGGGATCTCCGTGACCGACCTGAAGAAACAGTTGGTGGAGCTGCACAACAAGCGAATCAAGTGTCTTCGGTAGTACTTGGAGGTGGAGGGGAAGGGCCTGCCGCTGCAGTGATTCCTTTTGGTACATAAGCAGTGAGGATGTAGGAGAGTCTCCAAATGAAGCACTGGCCGTCCCAGAATGTGGATGCTGCAGTTAGTTGGTCATTTGAGAGCGCCATTTCTGTTTAGTTTGGCTGATGCACTGAGAGAACTGGCTAAACACGGACCTCTGAGACCCGAGGAGACACGTGGATTGAGCGAGGAAGTGGGGAAGATGAGTCATCTCGATGTCAATGCATATGGTGATATCACATAGCGCAGAAAGAGGGGGTCTGATTGGTGACACGACAACAGGAACTCCTACGGCACCCGACGAGCACGCCTACCGGACGGGTTGCCCACCTCCAGCTCACGCTGCGGCGGTACTCACACGAACAGCGGATGAGGCATCGGCAGCCGTTAGCCACAATTTAGTGGCGCATAGGAAGGCCCTCGACCTTGGTGAGAACTGCGAATTCTGATCCACTCCTTCGGCGTGTGCGTGATCGAGCGAACGTGCTCGACAGTACTGCGAAGGACTGTATCTGTTTTAGCAACGATTCAAGAGCAGCTCGACTGCATGCAGGGTGCGGTCATGATCGCCTATCCTGCTTTCCATCGTCTCCCTAGCTTCGACCCGGCCAGAATAGAACTGGAAAATGCCGAGGCCCCGGATGGGCAGTCAGAGAATCAGGTAAAGTAGTGTCACTGAGAGGAACTCACTGCTCCCTGAGCGTACCGTCCAGTCACGTAGATTGCCATGATGGCGCTATCGGTCATTTTGTTAGAAGCCATTGGAACTAGAGTCAGGACGAACGATGATGGCCTCAAAGTTTTCCATTCCCTCTTGCTGTGTCATGCGACAGTCATTTTTTCAGGATGTACTGGAGCCGGCGCAGTCCTCTCTTTGGTGGGCTGGTAAGGAACTAGAATCCGGCAAAACACTATCGGACTATATCGGCAAAAACGAGAAGACGAAGATAATAGTGAAATTAATGGCTTCGTCGCAGGGGGCACCGGTGCGCGAGCCTCGAGTAAGGGATGCAGACGAGTTCGCGTGGCGTGTTGGGTGATGCCAATGCAGGTTGATGAGGAAACCCATAAGGCAATGCTCGCTTATTATTATAAGAAACAGGAGGAGCAGAAAGCCTTGAATAACGACGATGACGACTCTTATCTAACTAGTGAATGGGCCAATCCCAAAGCGCTCAAAGGTGAGGACCATTCGGTCCGCTTGCATACGATCCTGAGTACAGATTTTTCGTCTAGGTTCTCTTGTTGGAGGTGGGCGAGGTATCAGCTGGAGGCCTCATTGATTGAATTAAGCATCACCGGCGCTACAAACCACTACTTAATCGTTATCGATGCACCCAGTAGAGTTTGGTTATTTTACATCCAGTGGGCAGGGATAGGAATAGTAGAGAACATCGGACAGTTTGTTCGTGGCTCTGAAAGTCAGTCTTCGTGATGCGTTGGACGCTATAGGCAATGTGAAAATTGCAATTTTCAGCGACAGTTTGGCCGAGTGGTCTAAGGCGCTAGCTTCAGGCGTTAGTCCGCAAGGGCGCGGGTTCGAATCCCGCAGCTGTCATGTTTGTGGTCATCAAACCTACTTGGGGGATATTTACACACTTAACCATTGCAACTACCTACTGACAGTTCGCCCTTAATCTGGCAACTCATGGCCCTCGATTCATCTCCCGAGTATGATCAGATGATGGGCTCAGAGTATGAACTTCACACCATGGCTGTCACCATCACTATTTTTGAACACTACACCACATGCTCGCCTCACGAAACCATTAATGCTTCCTACGCCTGCCTGCAGACTTTTTGTTACGGCCACTCTCATTCACACTTTTCCGCTGAGGCACTTGGGAATTATCTTCCCCCGTGTTGCTCGGCTCCTCGGCTAAAGTACGGGTATCCACACGATCCCACAAGACATCGCGCCAATTCGCGAGTACCGAACCCTTGTCGTAGATGTTCTTCAGCCCATCCAGCTCAGCCTCGCGGTTTTCCTTCTTGAGATAATCGTGTATAGTACGCCACTTGGCTGATTCGTTTGTAGTGACGTTGGAAGCAGCTAGGTACAAATGCCACGACGTGAAGCCAACCAGCACAATAGACATTATCGTGCACAGAGTGATCATGGCGATCATTATGTACTCGTGCGTGAGGAGCCACTGGAAGATGATCCGATAACTGGCAGTGAACTGCTCTCCTGTGGTGGGGTTGATGAACCGGGCGTTCCACAAGTCGCGCTCCTTCACGACGGCCATGAGACTGATTACGCCGACGATGGCACCGTATACGCAGAGAGCAGTATTTGCTAGTAGAAAGGCGATGAACCAGTGCACATTGTTGACACCAACACAGTTGTTAATCCACACACAGTGATGGTCGAATCGGGCCACACAACAGTTGCAGAGAGAGCAATGCTTACTACGAGCGGGCCTGAGAATACCGCAAGGTAGGTTGAGGATAATCAAGCCTTGATCTGTAGGGTCGTGCCTCGTGCCTGAGTACCCTTACTTCGGTTGCTTGCATGTGGAGCACTCCTTCTCATGGAAAAGGATCTCGTCCATAGGGTAGATCTTGGAGATCGCATGAACGTTGCGCTTGGTGATGATCCCTGGATCCGTTATGGACGCTGAAAAGTAAAAAAGGAAAAGAATATTTCTCGGTCCGCAAAGGGTCTTACCTGCAGCGAAGGTGTAGATGCAAAGCACGAAAACTAGGAAGCCCACGTATTTATGGTATTCTCCAAGGTAGGTGTTAGGAAGCAAGGGGTATCCTGAGGTATACAATACTGCTGAGCTGAGCTCATGTGATGATGAACAGCTTACCGAAGATGACATAAAGGAAGTATCCGCCTACCACTAGACTGAGATACACAATCTGAACCTAAAAAGAAGCCTTGTAAAATGGCAAGGAGATTTGCAGACGGTACTATCGGATTGGCCTCATTGCAGGTGTAGTTCCAAGCTGAATCGAGGGCGACGCCTCCCCGATCAGAGCCGCAGCAAAGAATGCGCAGTACAAACCTGAGGAAGAATGAGCTCCTCTCGCTTGATTGGTCAGTGGCCCGTCACCCATGCTACTTTATTGCATTGGGCACATATTCTGTAGCAGCTCGGTATACTCGGTCGAAGACGCTGTTACCATCGGATTTACCGAGTAAGAACACCTAAGGGGAACTCTTTTTCTCGCTATAACCGATAGGCACGCATATGCTAGCGATAAGCGCTCGATAAGGGTACTCTGTAGTGACTCGGAGCCGCTGTGGATTCCCTTGACGCAATTAATGAGACGTTCCTTGTTATTGGAGCGCTCGTCGGCCCTTTACGTTCGAGTACGTTACTTATGTTCAACCATGCAGCCTTCTCAAGCACACCAGGTCCCCGGTTATTACCGCCATCCCGAATCCGACAACGGCTAGGTATATCCCAACGGCGACGAAAAAGTTCATGATGGTGGAATAAGAAACACTAAGATCATATACCTCTGCAAAGTTGCGGTTTATATGCGGTCAGTCCGCCGGGATTGAACCCGGGACCTCTTGATCGTCATCCATTTAGCTTTATTGACCGGAAACTTTGGTAAATCGTCACTCTTATCATTAGTGAATGTCGTCGACGGGTTGAGTAAAGAAACGACCGAATAAATCTAGTATGTTATTACCCGGCTCCTTAGACGACCCTTTGACGCGAGTTCGTATTACTTTATGAACCACAGCGCAGGTTTGCTAGCCACTTGTGTATACGACTTGACTCACAGCCGCTTCTTGAGCTCGTGACTATTCTCTCCGCTGGGATACACGCGGGCGAGAATCTCCCATGGATCCAAGCCTTGGAGGAAGCTAACCCTACTGGTGCAGAATTGGACTTAACAACGACAGTGATCACAGCGTCCCGTCAGGTTTGAAGTTACTTTCGGCGTGCTCCTAGTGTTGGTCCTTTCGAAGTTGACAATGATTCAGATTTTCAGCACTGAATTCGACTTGGTTTGATCGCCTTGGGGAAATTATCTCGCTAGATAACCTCTTTTGAGAATCAGACATCATGAGACATCATGAGAATACTACGTTCTCGGTGTGGGACACTGTGGGGTATCTGAAAAGCTCGTAATTGTGCAACAACCGTCGAGATGACGCTGGTCGTACTACTCCCACGAGGGTGCGTGTGTAAGTTTATGGTCTAACGGGCCCGGCTTAGTTAGTCAGGCTGTACTGCTGTTACTACTGTTGCTTCTCTCAGTTCATTACTACAGCATTCCTTCCCACTAACATGGTTTCTGTTTATCTCTTCGTCCCCAACCTCATTGGCTACACTAGAGTGGCTCTGATGCTCATCAGCTTCTATGTGGCGTTCGAGTAATACCCGCTGCACTCTTGCGAAGTTCCTCAACTGTTACCGTATTATTTTCTTCTTTCCAGTAACTGCAAGGCCTTCATCTTCTGTTACTTCTGGTCACAGATGTTGGACGCCTTTGATGGTGCTGCCGCCAGACGATTTAACGAGTGTAGTATGTTCGGAGCTGTAAGACAACGGGGAGGATACTACGCTCTCTCTACACCTGCAATGTAGGTACTAGACATGGTAACAGACAGGATTTCCTCCAATATCCTGGCCCTCATACTGAGCCACTTCTACCCGGCCCTCTACCTCCCTCTGGTCATGTTCGCCGTGGTCGATTATGCTTCTCATTGGACCCAAATGTAGTCCACTCCCTGCGGCCGTCTCTATTAGGGCTCACTGCTTCCGCAGGTACTCGAGCGTGCTTGCTAAGAATGGTAGCCACAAGTACATCGCCCCCAACAGGCCTTGGTTGTTGAGGAAATACTACGGCAGCAGAGGTAGTCAACGACAGTTCGGGCGTCCGTCTTCCAGGCTGTACTCATTTTAGTAATGCTGTTCTCGCTTTGCTTCGCTCAAGAGGCAGTACTGGTGTTGATGTACCTTTACCACTTCGTGGCACTGCCTACTGCAGCGGTCCCAGTGTGGATGCAGCAGGCTGTCTACTATGCTGCTCTAGCTTTCCTACCTATTGCATTACTGAAGCAGGTAATAGTTCACCATCATGGGGCACCGTAGATGCTCAGATCAAAGGGCCCGAATATCATCGCTCGGCAGTGAGAGTTTGGTCCATAGTCGTCATGCACATAGTCTTGGAATGGGGGGTCCTGGAAAATGGGGTTAGTGTCGTCTCGTCAGGTCATTAATGTCATCCAATTGATCGACGCTGGTCACGAGATTGTGAAGATCGATGAGGCCAGTCGTGCCGAGAAGGTCGAGTGATTGTTGTGCAGCAGCGTACTCAGGTTCGTACCCTATGTATTCATTCAATACACTGTTGAGGTCCAATTGAGCTTTTCTGTTAATTCCAGTTGTCCTTGGGTGAATATTCTCTCAATAGAATGCGGCAGGAGAAGTGGTGGTACTGGGTATTGCCCTCTGGCAGTCCACAAGGTTTGCATTGATCGCTCATCCGGAAACAGGCTAACTTCCAAGCCGCTTGCGTTGCTGGCAGCTGTTGTTTACTCTCGGGAAAGTGTCGGAGTGGGTGGAGGTTGGATGGCCTTGAATTCTCACGGCGGTGGGCGTTATACCTGCCCGGGCGAAGGAGTGTTTATTTTTTGGTATCCCTCAATGAGTACCACCCTACTAGACCTCGAAGATCTACTGGGCTCTGATAAGCTTGAGAACAGCAGCAGCACTTTGGGTAACGAGCAGGGGCAGGACCTCGCCAAAAAGTAGGAGTGTCCAGTGGTCGTTGAACTCGGACCTCGGTGTAAGGCCGCTGCCCTCGACAAGATAGACGACTTGGTCAACTCAAGCCAACCCTTTCCTGAAGGCACGACAGCTGGAAGGAGTGAAGGACGCCCCGTGTTGGTAAGTGACTAAGGAGTAGGTTCGAGCGTAGAGTGTGCAGCCTGCGAGTTCTTCCACGACTGTTGGGTCGATTTCTCAAGCGCCGCTTGAAGTTGAATTTCCGTAGTTGACCAGCAGCATGGACCAACCACCTCATCGACGACAGAGGAGACCATGATCACGCCAGTCCGTACCGACACCGCGGCGACACCAGAGGGGTTGCTGAGCGTAACTCCTGGCCGCAGTACTTGGCTGTTAGTGATGTTTTCCAGGGCTCGGTCGAGGGCATGATCGGCGAGGGTGCGAAAGAGAGCAGCTCGTCTCAGTCACGGAGTCTCATGTCATCGTCACAACTTCACATCAGTCTTGGGAGCATCCCTGTGTCGGCGGAAAAGACCAGTCCAGCTCAGACTACAGTAGGTGTCCGCCACTCCCTTGGTACCACTTTCACTCCGTATAAGGAGCATGCATTTTTCCTGAGCAAATTCACAAAAATTTCGTTTCTCGTCAACTGAGGCTTCGCAAATGATGTTCCACGATAATATCTATACCCTGCTAAGGTTTCCGCTCTGAACTCGTGCCCTGTTATTGTCCGAAGATACCTGTGCAGGTACCCTCAGGAGATGCTGGCTCCGTCGAACTCGGTGGATGCTGACCGAGCTCGCATCTGGAAAATAATAGATAAATCCGCGGAGGGGGTGACATATCATCTCGGGGC